TTTTGTGACATATACACATTTTATTGAACTGCTTACCAGTCTGAGTTATTCAATTATAATCTGCTGCAGTATGGGACTTTCTGAAGTAGTCTCCTGATTTGTGAGGCCAGTAAAGCAGAATAAAATTCTCAGATGTAGGGGAAAGAGGGATTGGGAGAGGGGAGCATTTACTTGGGTGGTTGGAAGATGAGTCACCTGGGAGGAGGCATCTGGAAGAAATGAGAGGTCATGAAACAAGGACCTACTCATCCTTGAATACGCTCCTCACATGAGCATGTAACTGCAACTAAAATTCTCAAGTGGGAATTTGAGAATTCCCTTCTGTGAGCTTCCATCTAGGAATGGTGGTGGGACAAAGAGAAAGCATTCATTTATGCTTAAGGGTCATTGAAACTTTTGAGAGTGGCAAGACAAGACAAAGACATTTAGCTACCCTCTTGACTTCTAATTTAACCAGAAAGGCGTTTCATAGTATCACAGGAAAACAGTAGCCTGTCAGTGGCTCTCAGCTGTTGGTGCACCTTGTGACTAAATGAGCACCTTTAAAAAGTCTCAACACCCAGGTTTCACCCCAGGCAAGTCATGTCACAGTCTCTGAGGGCTGGAGATGGAGAAATGGGAACAGGACTTAAGAAAAGCATGTTAATGGCATCTCTAAGTTTGGGAGATGGGTACACTGAAAGAACCCTTTCTTTAGTAGGGGGGCAGTCGGGGATACTAAACTTTATTTAAGGATTATGTTGTTAAGGATTGACATCTCTGGGTTTTGCTAAAAATACTAGAATACAGTTCTTTTTAATGCAAGGAATACTGAGGATTGACAAATTAGGGGGAAGATATCAGAATGTGAAAGAAATATTTATTCTGAGGACATTACCTGAAATACATGGCAACATGTTGAAACAGAAAGATCAAAAAATGTTGCCAGGGAACTTTAGACAGTGACCCTCACTGTTACAGCCAAAAACTGTAATGGTAGAAAATTGTAACCCACACCAGCATTCTTTTGACATTGTTTCTTTAAGTGCTGGCTCTAATATGTAGCTTGTAGATGAACAACACATTTGTATAAGAATCCTAGAACCAACTTCAAAAGATACAGAGTCTGACCTTCAGGTGTCCCAGCTCTGGGAGAGTTGCTTACCTTCAATGGCAGAGTTAGGGTGACAAAACCAGGATGACGTGAATCCGGGATGACTAAACCAGGATGTTGCACACCAGATGATTGCTTGACTTGTTGGAATGAACTGTGCTCATCTGCACATAGAGAACTTTTAAACACTCTTCCTTGTTCTCTTTGTTCTGTTCCTCTCTCCCTCCTTATAAAAACCTCTGCCTCCACTGAGATGGCATGTTGAATCCCCACCCCCATCTTCATAGATGGGGTTTGTGACGTGAGTCCCCCATCTTCCAGGTTCCCAGCACCTGAAAATAAACCACTTTCCTTTACATCAGCACCTGCTTCTCAAGTATTGCTTTTTGTAGCAGCAGGCAGCCAGACTTGCTTTCAGTTATGTCATTGAATACCAAAAATGTCCTTTTTAAAATCAAAATGGTCCCCAACTTTAATCTCCTAAGAAATAAAGTTAGAAACAAATGGATGAGATTTCTGATATTAAAACCAATGACAAAAACTGGTTTATGCGTTTGATCTATCACTGGACTTTGTCACCCTCAAACAAAACTACACTGAAATGTTGGGAAGGATGGATATCTTCAGTTATATAGGAGACACACAAACTTTTCTATGCCTAAAATTTTTTTTCTTCTTAAAGAAGGCTGAAGTCAGAAATGACAGTTTTCATGAAAATCAATGTTTGCAATGGAATACAAAGCTGGGCTTGAGTTTGTTCAGTAGCCTCTGGCATAAGATTCATTTCTATCTTAAAATGGATTCCACCCTTTCACAATATTTACATCAAAGTACATTGTTGCCTTAATTTTTCTTGTGTAAATTCTCGCTTTGCCTCATCTTGTAGGAATTCTGTCCTATGAAGTCTCAGCTTCAGTGAGAGACCATCCTAGGTCCTGGGAGAGAGCTTTTCATAGAATTATTTTAAAGAATCTCCAAGAAGTATGATTACAGGGTTTCTTTTTCTTTTAAAGATTTTTAGAGAGAAGAGGGAGGGAGAAAGAGAGAGTCAGAAATATCAGTGTGAGAGAGAAACATGGATCTGTTGCTTCTCATATGCGCTCAGACCGAACCCACAACACAGGGTTGTGCCCTGACCAGAAATTGAACCAGTGACTTTCCCCTTTCCAGGATGATGCCCAACCTACTGAGCCACACCGGTAGGGGCTGAATACAAGTTTCTTTGAAACTTCTGAAAGGTGCTAACTTTGGTAACAGGTTAAAATAATAATCAAATGAAACTATACTACTAAAAAGGGAGTGTTATTCCTCAATAAAAAATACTAACCAAGAGGAGAGGTAACAAATGACAAAGTTCTATTTTTCTTTGGGTGGTAGTGAGTCACTAGGTACCAGTTCTAAGTTTTCTACACAAACTTCACCTCATTCTTTTGACTATGTACATTCAGTATACCAGTTTAAAAATTTGAGTTCGTATTTGTAAATTTTTTAAAAAGTTCATAGCATGGTTTTTTAAGTTAAATGAAAAGGCATGATTGATCCAATTAAGTTTTCACTACTTATTAAAAAGGATGTATCAAACATTGTATGAAAACAACATTTAGCAAAATTGCTGTAGTATCTGTTTCTTTACCAGTAATTCTACTTGTTGAAGTCTAATTTTTTTTTCCAACAAACTAGCAGAGTTGTCCAACCTTTTGGTGTCTCTCTGGGCCACTTTGGGAGAAGAGTTGTCTTCAGCCACACAGTAAATACACAAACACTAATGAAAACTGATGAGCCAAAAAAAAGTTTTAAGTAAATTTACAATTTTGTGTTGGGCTGCATTCATAGCCATCCTGGGCCATATGTGGCTGGCTGGTGGCCTGCAGATTGGGTTTCTTGAACACACTAAACTGAACCAAAAATAATACTTCTGTGACCAAGTATGGTAATTAATACAGCAAAATCCTATACATTTATGAGCTTGTTAGCCCCAGGGGTGTAGTTATGTACAATGTACAATTGTAAGCCCTGGCTAAGTAAATAAATACAAAATGAACACTTTTTTTGAAACAGTTCAGAGATTGTTATGGTCAGGGTTAGTCAGTGAAACACACTTTGCAAGTTGTTTATTTGTGACGTTGACTCCATTTATAATACTTGGTGGGTCATTCAAGGCCAGACTATACTGGCATTACTGTATGGCTACCACCCAGTACCCTGCCTATGCACCCATGATGAACACTCCATTACCATTTGCTGAATCAAACAATGAAATCCCACAAATCCATTGCAGATTATAATCAGTTTTGCATGTCATAATTTTCCTTCATGCTCCAAACCTTACTGATTTACACAGTTTTTTTGGTACTACCTTAAAATTCAACCAAACAGAATTTTACTATATGTAAACTAAAAATGCACCATACTATTAGTGCTATTTTGCCTACTGAAGAGTCTTTGCCAATTGTGGGCTAAATGAAAATATTATTGCTTGTAATAAAAACCAAAGACAACAGTGACAAAAATAAAGATATAATATTAAAATCAAATGATATACAATACTGTCATTCTGATACAGAATTTTTACACAGCAATATTGATACAGGTACAATTGGCAGGATGTCAGGCAATCCATTATAGTAGAACTTGTGGTTACAAATAAAGTTTGAATTCAACTTAATACCAATTTAAAAATGATAACTAGTGTTGTGCCATGTTAAAATCAATACTTCCTCTTCAAGTGACATTTTAGGGAACATCTCTACAAGACTTTTCTAATAAAATTAACTTCATAAAAAGGGAAATAAATATTATACTGTATTGTGGAGATTTTCAATATTTTTTATCTCATGGCACACATAAACTAATTACTAAAGTTCTGCAGCACATCCAAAAAGACATTGTTTTTTGCTGATCTGACAAAAATAGGTATAATTTTGACTCATTCACACTGGATGGCTATTGTTGTGTTGGCTGTTTTCTTTTTTTTTTTTTTATTTGACAATCTAATGGAAAAAAGGTCAATGCCCCTGATTCAATAGTCAGGTACTGCATATTTTAACAATTCTTGCAGCACAATGGTTGAAAATTGCTACTGTATTGGAAACTCTTATTTAAAAAAAAACCCAAGTCTACAGATCTGGACTAAATTCATTTGGCTTTCCATTCCTGCTGTCCTGATACAGTCACACAGCAGACCCATGGTCCTCTTTGGATAGACAGGTTCAGTGGAAATTTAGCAGCACCCCAACCTCCACTCCACATAAGTTTGGGGTGTCTAGTTCAACTACACACTCATCACTGTTTAAGTAACAGTAAAAAAAAAACTTGATTCTCATTAATGATTCTGCCAGCAAGCTAAAGAATATGGACAACCCTCCCTGCCTCTGTCCCCGCCCCCGCCCCCGCCCCGCCCACCTTCTGCACACGTACATTTTTAAATGCCAGAGGGGCAGGGAGAGAAATGGCAAAGAATAAAATGAGGTCCTTCCTATTCTTTGAGGAGTGAGAGACAAGAGACCAGGAGCAAACAAGGATGTGTATATATGTGATGGGGCAGGGATGGGAGAAGGAGGGCTTAAGAAAAAAAAGTTTCTGTAACAAGATACCAAATTCTTATTCTCCTCATTTTTGTGAAAATAGGTGAGTTACTGGCATTTTAAAAAGCCAAACCAAATCAAAACACAAACAGGGAAATGAAAAGCAATTCTATAATACCTTGCATGTTACATTTCTATCCAAAATTAAAATCCTTTCAATAAAAAGAGGTCATTTAAAAATCAAAGCTAGAAAGGTTACTTGGAAAGTTGAGGAAGTAATAACTTTTCTTTCTGGCATACTATTTTTTTGGCACAATCACAAGAATATAGGCTTTACAGAAATCACGTGGCTGTTCACATTTAAAGTTTCTACTCTAAAGTGATTACTTTCGGGCTAAACAAACAAATCGGTTGAATGAAGCCCGTAAACAGGCTAAGCCAGGCAGACACGGACATGTGTGATGCATTCGCCGCCCAAAATATGGAACCTAAAATAAAAAAGAAAACCGAGTCAGAGCAGGAAACAAAAAAAATACTGAACTATTCTTGAGAAATCTCTAATAGCTAGCATTTATTGAATGCTAACGATTCATCAGGTAATATGCTTATCACTTTTATGTATTATCCTTTTCCATCCTTACAACCACTCTGAAGATAGCAACTAATTATACCCATTTATAGATGAGACACTGAGGCACAGACACATTAGTAACTTGCCCAAGGTCACATACCCAGAACTTAAAGCTTTGCTGGCAGCTGGACAAAAGACTAAGCTTTTTAACCACTAAGCTACACACCTTTTACTTTTTCTAATTTTAATTCTTTTTATAGTGTCCTGCTACTGAAGCTCCTTAGGAAGAGCATTATATTATGGCATGACTACATCTATATAATAAACAAATATAAATTCACTGACAATGAACAATATATAACTTCACACATTTGCACACAGATGTCAGAGGAATCAGCATTCTGGGGGTGGGAGGAAAGAGGAACAAGAGGAAAATTAGGGAAGTAGGCAAGCTCCATTTGCTGAAATGGAACTAACTAAACCCTGCCTAGCGAGAGCCTTCAGTGAAAGTCTGGCTTCTACCCGAGAGTCATTCAACTGACGTTCTAAGAGCCCTGTCTATGCCACCAATGAAGCTGGTTGAGAAGGGTCAACCAGCAACTGGTGTGATGGTTTTCTGTGCCAGGGGAAAGCATACTCCAAATAGTTATGTTTTCTAGAGGCAGAGTGCAAAAATTATCCTTCTTCCCCTAGGAATGGTGCCTCATGAGAATCTGCCTGCTTTGCAAGTTATATGGAGAAAATTTAACATCAATCTTAGAAATGGTAAGAATCAATTAACTGGGATGGCAAATGACTCAGATTGAGGGTAAAGTGAGAAAGGCAAGCTAGTAGAGACTCATGCCTTGGGTCATTCCATAATTTACACATGGCAGGAAAATGCATCCTTCCTGTTTTCCAACTCAAATGTTTTACTTGGTGCAATTCTAGTGTATTTCTAAGTCTATTTCACCAAGAGGCCATCCCACACCAATTATCTGTCCTTATGAGAAATCTGAGATGCATCTTCCAGATGCCTTCTAAATAATTTTATACATAAAAAGAAAAGAACGACAGTCTGTAGACAGTGGCAGAACCATTCTAACTTTATTTTTGGGTTGAATTGATAGAACAGGCCCAACTCCATGGTAGTCCAACAAGGGTCAAGACTAATTATTCTGGTTAACTTTGAGTTGTACCATGCTCCTGGTCTTCTTACCTCCTTTTTCCTTTTTCTTCTCTTCCTGTTTCTTCTTTCCTGCCTCCCATTTCCAAAATGGTTCTGGAAGGGCCAGGGAGATGATTGAGATCAATATATACAAAGGGAACAGGAAGAGGGCAGGGTATAAATGTGATGGACAGGCAGAGACATTCACATGCCTTTGTCTTTTTGAAAGGGCATTGCTTTCAGGGCTCTACACTAATGACACTGTCTACACATGGGTACCATGGTCATCAGCAGCATGCAGACTTATGCTCAGAATGGTTCTGTCACTGTGTGTGTCAAAGATACATAGATGGTTGGCTCATTTGTGGCCACTGAGAATATGTCAGAGGAGGGCGCAGCTTAATTAGTGAGGACAATTATAAGTATGAGAAGTTGTATCCCATGAACTTCACAATCCCTTCTGAGACTTTGAGAGCTCCTTTTTTTGTCAAGACTAAAGCTACTGCTTCGGCGAGAGGTTCTCTATTGAGGATGCTGCTGCCTGCACTCTCCCAGAGAATGTCAGGCAAGGTCTAGATAACATTTTTGTTTGTCAAAACCAAGAGGGCAGTACTATTGACATTTAGTGGGTAGAGGCCAAGGATGTTGACAAACATCCTATAGTACACTGGACAACCCTCATAGCAAAGAATTTTCCAGCCCAAAATGTCAATAATGCTGAGATTGAGAAAAAGTAACATAGGCAGCAATCTCCAAGGAAAAGCAGCCTGAAATAAGTGAACTAAAATTATAATGAGCAAATGAAACTCTTGTACCTGGAAAGTACCAAGCATGTATCTTTTATTCATTCATTCAAAAGACATTTACTTGGTGTCACCAACATGTCAGGTTCTTTTTCAGGTGCTGCAGATAGAGTGATGAACAAAACCAGGAAAGCTCCTGCCCATTACGGAGCTCACATTTAAATGATGAAAGATAAATAACCGGTAAGATAGTTTCAGCTACTAATAAGTGCTCTCATGGTGCTTACGGTCCTGTGCATTACAACACTGTGGTCACTCCTTTGGCTTGTCACATGGGCTGTCAGCACCAAAAGCAAACAGAGAAGAAAAATAACAGTGGCAGCCTGCCATGGGCCAGGCCTTATAAGGTACTGTGTATAAATATCAAATAAGGCCCATATGCCAGTCCTCATTTTGACATGAGCTGAGTGGCTTCCTCTTGAGGTGAGGTAATGTCCCTGACAGAGATCATACCCAGCTAGAAAAGGAAAGTGTCATAGTCAAACCCAGTTTCACTTTCTTCCAAATTTTGTTCTCTCCTCCAATACCACTGTGCCTGGACTCAGGCTCTTTGAAGAAGGGACTGGTCTATTTTGTTTAAGGACACATAACACTTAGTCTGGTACATAGAAGACCTTCAAGAAAATATTTGTTAAATATCTATCTCTCTCCTCCACTCTTGCCTTCATCACAGTCTGTGACTTCCCTGAAGGCAAAGGGACACCCATCTCAGGTCCTGTGACCTCTCCTCACCCCACACACAAACTCCCACACAGAACAGGCCTGATGTGACAAAGACCACAATTTCTGACCTGACATGCTCAGAGATCCTTGCCAGTTTCTTGACTGGCCCATTCACTTCTAGCTCTATATACACGTTATGTTGTGTGACAAATCTAATAGATGTCTGATGGTCCCCAATGTATAAGCAAGTGCTTACAGAAGAGGCATATTCAGATGCACAAATATAGTTGAGGGCTAATCATTCAGCCCACACTTAATGATTTACTTTATAATCAACTATAGACTCAATCCATTGTTTCTAATGGAACTCTAAACAGCAAATTTTAGAAGACCCCCAGGGAGAACATGCAGCATGTTGGTGAAGGCATGATCTTTATCCATTTGCAGCACCTTTTAAAAGAGGAAATAGCATTGAGACAAAACAAAGATATTTTTTGTGATTCTTCTCAAAACAGCCAATCTTGTTACAGAAGAAAGTATAATGGAATCCAGGAAGAAAAGTCTAGTCATGCGACATTAAGAACTGGTCCTATTATAATTTTATTTATAATTAAACCAGTTTTGTTACAATGTTTTTCAATAAAGATACATAGTTAAAAAAAATCAAATGGCAGAATAGTGCATAAAATAAAAACTGAAAGTCCCAGCTCCCACAATTTCTGCTTTTAATAATTATGAAGACAACTATGTATCTTAATTTTGTAAAGTTTTAAACTGTTTCTTCAAATTTTGGGGAATATGTATGCATTCATATAACACTAAATAATGCAATCATTTATCTGTCTCTCATTTGTGAGTAGAGGGTTAACATAGGCCTAGAATGCTGGAGGCCACCCTGACCTTGGCCTTCCACTACATTGTCTCCTCAGAAAGAGTGACTGAAAACAGAAATGGTGGGTTGACCTCACTGGTGGGGTGGAACTTGGGTTAGGGGAGCTGTCGGCAGGCAGGCCTTGGGTCTCTTAGGGCTAGGGGGTCATAAAAAATTTGCAAGAAAGAAGGGTGGTAGTTTCTGTGGATCAAGGGGATCCCCCACATAACTTGGCCCTCCTCTTTGGCAGCCACGAGCATCCCACGTGGGTGAAAGTCAAAAGCAACTGTGTGCTTGGGTAGCTGCTGAAGCCCCCAATGAAATGAGGGTGCTGCATCTTCTATACTTTGTCCTGTAGGCTAGATTAGTGTAGGATTAGACCAGTGGTGCTCAACAAGGGTGATTCCATCCCAACTCCACGCTTGAAATGCCCCCAAACCTGCTACGGGACATTTGTCATAGTCCAGAAACATTGTGGTTGTCACAACTTGATAGTGGATAGTGGCCAGGGATATTGTTTAACATCCCACAATGCACAGGACAGCCCTCTATAACATAGAATTATTTGACCCAGATGTTGGTAGTGTCCAGGCTGAAAAACTCCGTATTAAACCAAAACATGTATTTTGGGAGCATCTCTCTGCCAATGGCCAACGAACCTGTAATCATGGCTACAATCTTTCCCCAAGAGATCAAGAGCAGACAGGGGTCCTTGACATCCGTGATATGAAAGATGAGGTAATTAGCATATTATGCTTTCTTCTACCTGTCTTTTACTACATTTTGTAGTGATATAATTTATTTTTTAGTTGCCATTTCAAAAATTTCATACGCCACCCTGAAATTACAACCATGTCTACAATGTTTTGTCACAGGTTGAGTCTATAATAGAAACAATTAATAATTTTTTAAATCTTCCGTTTTCTTTTTACACCAACAAAAGACCTATGTTTTAATTTGGATTTTTTCCTTCAGAAATGAAAATTGTATTTGTCAAGTCTTACAGCTAAACAAAAAAAGCAAACATTTAAAGAAATTTTCTTAAGCGTTGACATATAAAATGGAGCAAAATTAAAAAAGATTAATTTGGGGGAGAAAATATGGTTAAGTTGAAAAAATTCATAAAATAATAAGCAATAAAATAAAAGCATTAATCACATACTTATAAATTCCCAAAGCCAACAGGTGAACAGAATGGAACAGAATTGGCTCCTCTTTATAAACTCTGAAAATTATGGGTTTTAGCAGACATTAAAATAAGGAACTTTTAAAAATAGCAAAGTACTCCCTATATTCATATGATTCAGTAACTTATTCTTAATTGTTTAAAAATTTACTGTTAAAAGTGAAGTCATGTTAAAATGATTATTTGCCTAAAAATGTGGTTAGAAGATATGTTCCCCTTAGATGGACTTATACTTTACTCTATTTTTGAATTATCAAATGTAAAGTTAAATGTAAAGTAATTATAAAAGTATAGACCAGCAGTCAGTCACTGCAAACTCTACAAGTTGGTTGATGCATGTGAAATAAAATAGTAAACTGAACTCAGGGGCTATCAATTCCTACCTGCAGTTCTCAATTTCATTAATCAACTATTGTTCACTTTATCAAAATAAACAGACATTTGTGGCCAGTGACTAAGCCAAACCAGAATGCGAAGTTTAAACATGGGTAGTCTTCAACTAATCACAGCCTTGTGTTTTTAGATCACAGCCTTGTGTTTTTAGATCACTAATTCCTGCGACCACAACTAAGTAACCCATTTTTTTTCTTAAAAAAAGGGAGTGGGGAGGCAGATATAATGAGTACATCACATTAAAACAGAGTTTTCTATACTGTGTCTCCATTCTTTACCATCTACTAATGAGCCACTAAACTGCAGAGGAGAGTTTCATCAGAATATATTTATGATTTCTTTTTCGAGTTGTTTTGAACAGAATATAGTTGAGAGATATTCTGGAAGAATCTCGATTTTTTACTTGAATAGGTTAATTTCAACCAAGAGAAGTAACAACTATGAGATGAAAAATAGGTTATTGAAATGACAAAAAAAGTATCTTCAAGACAGAAAAAAAACCAATATGAAAAATTTTAACATTGAATTCTAGAAACAAATTTCAAGTGGGCACCTTAATAGAGTAAATGTTCAGATCTGACATAAAATCTTATTTTTGAAAATACTTCATATATTTGTCACTTAATTCTACTATGAAAGCCATAATCTATAACTAGAGGCTTCATTATTAAAACTGTGATAAAAACAAAAGCTTAGAAATATACCCACGTTTATGAGAGAATGATTTTGTTTACTTTCAGAATTGACCTTATATGAAATCTGAACTAGACGCTATATGGGAGCCAGGAAAACAATTTGGTTCTCTTTTTAAAGTATCTCAGATTTGGAAAATGCATCAGAACTACAGGATGAGTCAAATTCCCACTTGGACTGTTAACCCCCATCCCAGTGAACCTCTGACCCACACAAACCAGTTTGGGTTAACTGGATTAAAAAATGTTCCAGTTAAACACAACAACAGCTTTTGCAGAGAAAGAAGAGTATAGTGGTTAAGACCACAGACAAGAAATGAAATCTGGTGTCTGCCCTCTGACAGGTCACCTTGTGAAATCTACCAGTTACTGAAACCATCAGAGGCTTAATGTTGCTGTGTGGGGATTATGACAAAAACAACTCTATTCTACAGACTTGTTGTGAGCATTAATTAAGAAATACATATGCAACATTTAGAATAGGATATCTGGCACATCATAGCATTCAGCAAGTGGTAACTATTATTGCTGTTAATACAAAAGTTGTTCCATAGTATATGTCACTCTTCACTTGTTTCAGCAAACAGTGATCCTCACCAAGGGCACGTGTGGTGATGTTAACACTGTACAAAAACAATATAGTTCTTAAAGGAGAAGGCTATTAGGAGTAAGCTTGTCAGTGACAGCTGAACGTACAAAAGATGACTGACATTCAGTAAGGAACATGACCAAACTGAGATCAAGGCCAAAGGTGGCTGGGCCAGCTTTAGCTCCTCATGGGGTGTTTGGCATCAGGACAGATGACTAACAGTTTAAAACTTCTCCTGTTCTAAAATGGCCAAGAGTAAAAGGTGCATAGTATGTTTAAAAATGGCAGTACAGTCTCAAGTGATCAAACCTCTTGGGAGGAATGGTCTAAACGTAACAGGAAGTATTTCTCAAGGAAACCACAGGAAAGCCAGACTCAGTCTTCAGATAGGTTCAAACAACTGGAGTCCCTATTACATACTGCTCACAGAGATAAAACTAAGCCAATTTATCCCATTATGTTTAGTCCAAGGAAGTCAAAATATTAAGTTACTTGTGACTGCGGGGTACAGAGAAGATGTTTGATTCTACTAGTTTTAAACTCTATGCACATGTGATAAAAAATAGAGGTGGAATTCAATTTGCTTTGATAACGTGTAGAGAGAACACTGCAGAGACTGAGCTCTGCCTCCAACAAGCCACCTGGCCTGGGGCAAATCCTTCCCTTGGACTTCACTTTACTGCTGGGTAAGATGAGAACATGGGACTAGGAGGGCAAGGCACTGCAACCTGGCATACCTGGAGGATTTTGCTGAGATCCTATTGTGCTTCAAAAGTGTTTAATCTGAAGAGCAAAGACTTCCAAGCTCCCCACACCCCCAGAACCCTCTTTTCTCCCACCTACCCCTTCCAGAGCAGTGTAAACCTGCTTGGCCCCTGTAGATGTGAGAATCTGCAGCACAACCTCCAGAGCCCTATCCAACCTTGCTATCCTATGGTCATACCACTTACTGCCAATAACCCTTCAAAAGTGTGTTTTAGGTCACTCTGATATTAAACTATTAAATAAGATATATTAGAAAATTAACTATCATTAACCTCTAGGATTGTGAACAATCTATCCTGTAGATAGAGTCAACTACTTTTGTATCTTGAATTAAGATATAAGACTAGTTGTATTATTGACAGTTTTCTGAAAAATAGAACAGTGGATGGCTGCTGTCTCCCACTTTGCTCATAGGAGTTCAAGTCCTTAAGCTCTTAACCCAGAAACGAATAGCACAGCACATGCCTCCACCATACTACATAACTTCTTTACTTCTGCCTTATCAGTAGGCCTGATAGTAAAAGTCTTTTCAAGAACTTCTATACTCTGATTTCTGCAAAGAAACATATAATGGTATAATATCATATGTATAACATATATGTCTTCTGAAATGATTTTTAAGCAAATTCATATGTTTGAATTTATGAAACGTCTCCCATGTCATGAGAATAATGATATGCAAATGATCATTAGAATAAGAATATTAGCAGAAACAATTCTATCAAATGAAAGGGGAAAGGGAAGAGCAGGTGGCTTTCCATTGTCATCATCACTAACTTCCAGGTTCAAGCACATTACCCTGGGTTTCATGTCACACAGACCTTGCTCAAAGTTAGGGTACTGCAACATAAAAGAACCACTGTGAATGCAAATATACATACTAACTTTACGAGTCAATGGATGGCAGCTGTCTCCCACTTTGCCCATAGGTGTGCAAATCCTTATGCTCTTAACCCAGATACTAACAGCACAGCACATGCCTCCACCACACTGGGGGTCCTTGTCGCAAGCCTGAAATGAATAAGCAAACAGATAAATATAGATAGCAGAAAAGACTCAGGCGAAGAAAATCTAAAATTAGCAATAAAAAATGCACTTTAAATATCCAACTGCTACTCTATTAACAATCACATATATAAAAACTGTAATATTCATGTGTTTATACACATTAACTATAAAATATAATTAGAAGAGCTTTCCCCCATTTCTAAAAAATAACCTAAAAATGGCTCACATACTATGAAAATCTTAAACACTATTTTTTAAAAACTCAGCTCTCTTTTTCTAATGCTTTATTGAATTTGCTTTGAACTTGAACAAAATGAGTCTATATTAGCCATATAGCATGCATGTCCATTAAGACCCACATAAATCAAGCCACAAGATTCTATGACTATTAACTGCAGAATACATTGGGCCCAGTTTCAAAAAGGTGTTTAAATGGTCTCTAAGTTTGCCATAAACTGCTCCAGGTGCAGAAAGGCACTGATGTAAATTTTAGAAGTGCTCATTTTCCCTTTCAAATATTTGCATTTTAGTTCACGAGACTTGCTGTTTCTCATACCACTGACTTGATTTTTACCATTTCCCCTTTAAAGAAAGAAATCTCATAGGTTGAGAATGGGCAGACCAAGACTTTCCCTTATGCTACCCCCCCTTTTTTTTCCTCCCCAGTGAGTGACCTGCAAAAAAGAAAATTATTGGCTTAGGATATACATATGTGTACATTACAAAATTAACCAAACTATTCTATCAGAGCCATCAGATAAGGAAACACAATTACCTATTACAGTGATTACTCAAGGCACCTGCTCCCAGTATAAAAATTGTGAAATACATATAATGAAAGAATCAGCTATGGAGGTATTTCCATACTCTATTAAATAGAAATAAATAATGAAGTCTAAATTTATATGCATGAAAATAGACCTGAAGAATTATTGTTCTTTCCTTGAATCAATAAAAAATAGGATGCTTTGTTTGAATGGTGTGCAGTAATCTGTTTTTGCTAACAATAAGGTAAAAATATACTGTATTATATAGCATGTAGGAAACTAAAAAGTTTATCATTTAAGCACAAGTTTAAGTGTACATTTATTGGAAACAACTAAAACATGCCTTCAAAGTTCTTAGTTTTGAGGACAGCCATAACTTTTAAAAATATAAATGTCTATATGGGCACACTCTTATTCATTACTTTTCTTTAAAAGTGATCTTGCTTTAGAGATGATTTATTTCCCCCATTAGAATATTTTTTTTCTCAGCCTATTTAAAACAAGTATCTGGATGGACAAAAACTACAATTTCCACATTGAGGTGTTTGGACATTGATAGGAAAATATTTAAATATTTCTGTTTTCCAACTTTTATCTGTATGCCAGATATCATGTATTTGTGGCTAGTCTATTCCATAAATGAGATGTTCAGTACATGATCTTTTCAAATATGGTTTTAGCAAATTGATGGGAACATATAAATCATTTTTAAAAAGACTACACATATTACCACATAAATATTTAAAGTGGAGATTTCAGGCAGTATTTTATTTCCACAGATGCTCAAGACGTTGAATTCTGAAGCCCCACAAACTCTTTGGATAAGACAGTCAAAATCCAGCCAAAAATCTTTTAAAATTCAGTCCATCACTTGGATATTTAACATCCTATAGACAATACATCTAGACAAATTACTTAGTTTTTCATTTGACTCCAGATGGCTCCTGTCATGGAAACATAACTATATTTCTTTATTGTCATATAGCTTTAGAGACTTTTAAAAGAATTCTTTTTGTAACACTGAGTTAAAATGACAGCAACAAAACAACACACATAACTATAAAACAAGCCTAAATCTCTATAGATAAACATCTACTGTGATAAAAATTTCACTTTGTAACACGAAGCTTCAGTTCTTGGAAATATTTACAAAGAAGTGCATAGGTTTGTGTATTTTTAATTAGCTGTTTGTAATGCCCTTCATCCTTAACCCATTGCAAATCTATTCAAATCTGTTGCCCTGTGAATGGAACAAAAAGATACTTACATTGCAGAAGAATTTTGGGCTTAGAGGATTAGGGGAAATTTAAAATGAGCCAGCAGGAGAAGAGGGGAAGAAAACAATCATGTTTCAATTCTCATGTATTAGAAAGACCCATAAAAACATTTTTTCAATTACACCAGCTGGCTACTGACAAAGCTATTCAAATACATTGTGTAAAACACAAAAACAAAAACAAAAACAAAAACAAAAAAATCCCACAAAACCCAAAACACTCAAAACTATTCTAATAAACATCACAATGCTTATAATTATGTAACTCCTGGGTAGAACCAAAACTGTTGGGCTTATCATCTGCTCTAAACCTACTAATTAACATGGGGACAGTGCAGCTTTATTTTGTCAAGACAATGACATTTCCCTTAAATTTAAATTTTATCTCATTATCTATATGTAATCATGTCAAACATAGAGGTTTTATTTAAATCCTATAATGTGCACTTAGATATTCGAAGAAATTTAATGGAGGTGTAAAATAATTTCAGACTTGAGAAAAGGGAGTAAAGCAGTTGAACTAGGAAATGATAGCGGGTTTGTATTGTTGATGTAAAATAGATTAAAGTTTTAAATTCCGTGCTGTAAATTCATCCTTTGGATGCATACACAGAACTGGTGGGAGTGCGAGAAAAGTGAATTAGTTCCTATTTCCAAATGAAGATGTCTTCTCTAAGCTAACATTTACATGACCACCTACTCCATAATTATGCCGGAGCACTGGAGATGCTTTATCGGGAATTGGAAATGGAAACTTTTATAGGGAGAACCTCAAGACACTGGACCAAACAAACAAACAAACAAACAAAAAAACAACAAAACCCTTGGGACCCAGAAGGAAGTGCCCCCATTGCTTTTTCAAAGTGCACACACGGCCTGGGACCAAGTTATTTCAAATGGTTTCTGAGGAGGATGCGCGGGGAGCAGTCCTCGACTACAGCAGGATTAAGACTCGGGATGGGGGGATTCACCCTTGACTCTTTGCATTTCCGGACGGGCCCTTCCAATTTCAAGATTCCAGGCTGGAACGTCTTGAAAAAGTGCTTGGGAAGACTTTGAAAACCATGTTTCATCTAAACAGGAAAACAGGCTAAACACAAGAAGAGAGGTTGTGGGGGTAAAGGAGGAGCAGGCGGAAAAAGTGGCGATAAAGGTGGTACAGTGGTACTTTGGTCATTTTTCTTCCAGGGCGCGCCCAATGTCCCGCGCCGTCAGCTGCTTCACGAGCAGGGCACTCACTTTTCTAAGTGCGCCACGAGGCGAAGGGGGCAGTTATCCCGGTTCGGGCGACCCTTCCCGTGCCCTTCGCCGCCCCTTCGCGGTCCCCTTCCCCAGGCCCCTTGGGCGCCTCGGGGACGCGCCTGCGGCAGACAGGTGAGCCGGAGAGCTTACCCCGGTGATGACGGCGGCGTCCCCGGCGCGGGGCGTGAGCAGCAGCGGCGAAAGCAGCAGCAGGAGCAACAGCGGGGCGCAGCATGGGCCCCTCATGGTGTCCTCGGGACTGGAGGCGGTTGAGGGCCGTTGGGAGCGCGGGGCCGGGTGCTCTCGTTGGAGTGTGGAGCTGCGGGCTAGCGGGCTGTCGGGCGGCTCCCGCGAGTCTCCGAGCGGTTATAAAGGCGAGCGCGGCCGTGACTCAGCCCGCGCCCGCCCGGCAGCCCGCGGGCACTCCCCAGGCACACCCCGCCCCCGCTCACACACGCACCCACCGGCCGGCGCCGGAGAGGACACGTGCCGGCGCCCTGCGCCCCGCCTAGGACGCCACGCAGGCAGCACCCCCAGTGGTGCCCCGCGCCCCGCCGCTGTCTCCGTGTGAGACTCGCGGCCGCGGTTTTTCGCTCGCGTCGAGTCGCTGTTGTGGGCTGAGAGTCACTCGGCTGCCGTCCTCGTTTCTGAAATGACACGTGCTCAGCGCCAACTACTAGCAGCTCGTTTGTTCTACAGATGTTTAGGGAGCGCCTACTATGTGCCAGACGCTGTGGGCGAATCGGGGGACGGGGTGGAGGTAGGGGGATAGGAGCCTCTAAACGTGTTCATTTGTTCAGCAGGTCTACACGAGGAGCGCGCTGTGCGTCAGGTACTGCCCGGGTTTGCCCTCATGGTCCAACTACAGAAAAGGCCAACATCAAACAAATAAACGGGAAACGTGGAAGACGGGGAAAGAACAAAGGGAGAGCAAAATCACCCCTAATACCACAGCCCTGATGACATTAGGGATTTGTCCTTCCAGCTGTGCGAGTCCAATGTATTTCTTTCATTTCAAATGCTTTCCTTTATGCTCACATCTGTTCTGACCCTCTCACTCCGATTTTTCTCACGAGCATTTCCTCTCTCTTTAGATCTTGCCAGTGTCGGGCAGAACAGTTCTGGATAGTGCCAAAGGGAAATGAGAACGCCTGGCTTGGTGCACCAGGCCCTGAAGCCCAGTCCTTCTGTTGCTTTCCACCCCAGGAAAACCATGCTTCGGTTTTACAAGATGCCACACAGCATTACTGTGTGTGATTCCCTCATTCGGGTCTCCTGGTCTCTAGGCCACCCATTGCAGGAAGACTGGCAGATTCACCCTCCATCTCCGACCCGAGCCCAGCTAAGAAACCCAGCCTGTTTTCCCTCAACGAATATGGCTTTAAGACTGCTTACATGCGACCACAACAAACTTGCTTGCGCCGAAATTTGGGAAGCCTAATTTTCTTCCTAACTCTCCAGAATGGCAGGCTTTCCCTAGTCCCTTAAGGACCACAAACTGTTGAAAAGCGGTTATGTCTTTCAGCCTCTTTAATAAATATAGTGAGGAGAGTTGGGGCAAAGTTGCTTTCAGACTGTGGGGCTCCCTTATGCCAAAGCATTTAGACTAAATGTGTGTGTGGAGGGTGGGGCGGGGGCAGGGGGGAGGGGTGTTGGGGAAGCAGGCAATTATCTGAATGTTAAACAGCTGAATATTTGGAAAACCAAATCTTTGACTGATTTTTAACACCTTTCACCCCTGTTTTCATGTTTCAGAATGTGCTCAAACAAAAGAATCAAACTTATTTAACATTAAAAAAATTGTTAAAATTGGAGTCAGTAAAATAAGTGGAAACAATAGCAAGTGACAGTATGGTGGAAAGTTTCCTTTTCCAAGCTCCATGCCAACACTAGCATGGGAATGCTGCTGGGTAAATGTAAAAACCAGTCGATATGGATTTTAGCATTCCTACAACTTTTGAAAAATTGGTCTATTTCATATTTGGTACTATGGGGTGTTAGCTTGGGTATTCCCTGCTTCTCTAAGCATAAAAAACAGGATATGTCTACATAGGAAAATTAGATTTCATAAGTGGATGGCTTCATACATGGCAGTTTGGAAGACAGTCCTCTGCCGGCTGTTTTGAAACAAGGTTGGAAACACTTAAAAACAGGGTTGCTTTGGTTTCATGTTTCTTTTGATCATGTTGTTTCTTTTGTTTCAATGCTCTAGAGAAGAAATGAAAGCCCCTGATATGACAAATCTTTGCATCCATGGCCAAGTTAGAAAATGAAGTCTGAAAGTTAGTTCCATTTTATAAAGGAAAGATGAAAGGTTGAATTTGGATTAGTTTATACAAATAAGTGAGGTAGGAAGACCAGCCTACCAACATTGAAATAGAAATTAAAGAGTAGCTTGCCTGTCCTGCTCTATTTCTTACTGCAGCCTGTTCATATGGCCACATGATCGATTCAGCCCAGGGATGACTGTGTGAGGAGAACCCATCTTTGTGTATTTCAGAGCATAGACTGCCATTTCCTAGAAGACCAGCAGTGTTCAGCTGAATGGAAGGGCAGTCCAGGAAAAGTCCATAGGATCCCACATTTGTTAATCTGACTGACCTGGATTGGAATTCTGAGTGATCATTAGACAAGCTACTTAATCTTTTTAAGCCTCTGTTTTCCCACTTATAACATGAATATAAAATATCAGCCTCATGGATTACAACCTCCATGGGCTTTAAACGGTGTAATACCTGTGAAGCACAATGCCTAGGACAGACTGGGAGCCCTATTAAGGTGACCTCTTATCAAGTTTTATTATTTGATATCCTCTACAAGTTCAGCCAAAACTGATATAGTTATTTTTATCTTTCCCACCTAATCTGATGATATGCTCCTTAGAATCTTTGTGTTTAACATCCCACACATCCTTCTTGGCACATAGCACAATGATAGACATATTACCAGGCACTCTCAGTAAATGATTGATGATCAGCAGGAAGATATTCTTCAGAGGACAGCCCAGAGACAGGTCACAGGCAAATGACATACAGTGTAGACACATTTAATTTACGTGGATTGATTAAATGTGATCATCAAAAAGCTACAGGGATAGATTCTTTATCTGGTACAGGTGATTTAGTCTGTCATTCTACTCAATGGACATAGGACTGAAATGACATGCATTGGGAGACACAAACCTGTCTTATTACCACTGCAGTGAGACATGCTGGGACCCAAGCTGGTGAAGGATCCATTTCAACATGTGCTTCATGGTTGCCTGCGTAAGGTAGTATAGTGGATTAAATTGTATTTCTCCCCAAAGTTATTTTTAAGTTCCAACCTCAAGTACATGTAAATGTGACCTTATTTGGTAGAAGAGTCTTTGAAGATGTAATCAATTTTAGATGAGGCTATTATGGATTATGGTGGGCCCTAACTATAATGACTGGCCTTGTTATAAAAGAAAGGAGAGGGAGATTTGAACACAGAGACACAAAGGAGACACACACACAGGAGTGCACCATGTTCAGAAATGGAGGCAGAGATTGGAGTAATGTGCCTACAAGCCAAGGATTGCCAACGACTGCCAGCAACCACCAGAGTGGGAAGAGGCAAGGAAAAATCCTCCCCTAGAGCCATCATAAGGAACATAGCCTTGTTGACACCTTGATCTCAAACTTCTATCCTCTAGAACCATGGGAGAATGCATGTCTGTTGTTTTAAACCACCATTGTGGTAATTTCTTATGTCAGCCATAGGACAATAACACAAGTGGGTGGAGCTGGAGGGTTGCACACCAGCCTTCAAAGGCCTCTGCATGGAACTGATGCACATCACTTCTGTTCATGTTGTAGTGGCCAAACAAGCACATGACTAGCCTATCTTCAAGGGAATGGACTTTGCAAGTCTGCAGTAGACTCTGATTTCTAAGAACAAGTAGTGAACAGTGCCACATTTTTTAGGAACGCAATCAGTCATGGCTTAGACTCCTTAATGAGCACAATGAACTTTGTATGATATTAGTAATTATTATATATAATAATGTAATATTTCCTTTGTGTGTGTGTTTTTTTAGTTTAGTATTCCTTATACTAGAATTATCCAAAGACTCTGAAAGAGAGTAAATGTTTAAACTGATATATATATTTTAGATGGGTAGTAAACCACCATTCATTTATTCATCTAACTAAGTACTTCCTATGACCAAATGTTGTAGGAGGTACTGGAGGGGGTGTGTGTGTGTGGGGGGCAAATGTGAGCAAACAGACATGAAACCAGCCCCTTGGAAGTGTACATGAATCAAATAATCATACAATTGTGTAATTACAGGACTCCTGCTTTAGATGATAAAGGAGAGGAGTCGGAGTTTCTCTACTACTCCTCAGTTTCAATTTGTTACCACTAAATATATTATGGGCTATACTTTTGATGTCCTCTCTCATTTATCAATGTAACTCACCTGCTTCCTAATGGACCCCTAGCATATTCACTTTGTTATATGTACTTTCTTTTCAATTGCCTGTTACATAGTAGTGGCTCAACAAATACATGTCAGTGGAATTTGAGGAAGAAGGGCAATACATGCATGTTTGGTCTGTCATCTTAGCTGGAAGCCTGAAACATTTTCTCAACTATGTAAATGAAGAGAACTTTTATTGTCCTTTTATATAAAGCTCTAGTTTTAAAAGCGATTCCAGCTTGTTTGAGGATTACTTTTGTGTCTGTGTATCTTCATAGGACTTCTTATTAATATTGCATAATAGGTGGGCCGGGTAATCTTATATCTGGGTCCCATTTGCCTTTGTGTAAATGATTTTCATTTAGATGGGTTTGAAAAAATTAGAATAGATTTTTTTTTTATTTTTTTACCTTTCATCTTCATCACTGTACCATTACACGGTGGCTTTTTTTCTTAACAAACCCATAATATCAGCCTGAAATACATTTTAAAAATAATAACCATGCTTTAAATGTGACATGAAAAATGAAATTGCTTTTGTAATTCTAAATAAGACATCTATTTTAATCTATTTCAATGCTGATGATTTCTCTTTATTTTAAAAATAAATCATCATGCTTCAATTTGAAAGCCAATTACCTATAAAAGCACTAAAATTATTTGGTCTATTCAAGTGATAATGTACAATAAAGTTTACCTATTTTTAATAGTTGAAACATTAACCCAGGAGGAAGAATTTTCTTAAAACAATTAGTATAAAATGCATTTGAAATAATATGAGGGGTCAGGATGAACATTGGAT